TGCATCACAAGATCACAATTTGACATTATGATATTTGTACTGATACACAAAAAAGATGTACAGTTCTCTTTATATGATATGCATATAGAACCTAGCAAAAAAACCCCCTAAATGGGCTTCTCATGTTTATTTGGAGGCTTTAACTGTAGCTCAGTCACACAGTTGAGAAAGCTAGCTATCCTCTTTAAGACCACAAAGTAAGCTATTGAGTGACAGAAGTAAAAGAGAAAGGCACTTTTCCTTCCTTTCACAAAGAAGTTCAGAAGACATCTCCACCTTTTAGAGAGGGCAGCACTTACATTTTGCTTATGATTTGAGTCTTCATGAAATTAGCTCTGATGCAGCCCAAGGTTTAGCTCAGTAACAACATGGGGGGGGTTTGTTTATTTTTAATTGTTTTCAGGGTTTTTTTTGAGCCCCTTAGAAATTGAGCTGCCTTTGATTTATTTAGCCTTGGTGTCCACATTTCCAGGAACAACAACTGTTTCTGCTTACATAGATGGAGTCTGCAAATGAGGACAAGGGAGCTGAGACCACAAAGCAATTCAGTGGCAAGAACTAACAACTTTTCATGTGAGACCTGTCTGTCATCTGCAACCAGTATAAATCACCAAGCCAGGTACAATCGTCTCGTCTCTCACCTCCCAGTCTCGCAGTAGCCCCAGCCCCAAAACTAACTGCCCAACAGACAGTCTTTCAAACTTGTCCCATTCCCCCACTACACCAGGACAGGGGGTGTCCAACTAACTGTGCTGTGTTAAGCACATGTTCCATTAGCATGTCAAGGTCAGAAAGCATCACAGAAAACAGTGTTTTATCTTCTCAATTTTATTGTAAAACTTACACTTAGCTTCTGCGCACAAATTTTCTGTGAGGCTATAAAGCCTCGTACCAAAGGGGTATTGCTCACTCTATGTGCTTCTGGACCTGGTAACTCCAAACTCTACCTGGCACTGGCAATTCATTCTTTCCTGTAGGATACGACTGGCCTGGTGTTTGCAGCAGCTAGGCAAATATTCTCCAGTTGAAGCACCATTTTGGAAATAAGGGTTGAGACAATTACTTCTGCTAGCAACTACGCTAGATTTAGTAGTGATACGATGAAACCAAACGATAACACAGTAGTCCAGTACAGACAAATGGCTGCCTCTTTGACTTAGCCTCTTCCTCATATTCCCTCTTCTACAATCATTTCGTCCACAACGCTGTTAGTACAGACAGGGCTCTAGGCAAAGGCAACATCCAAACACCACATGAGCAATTCCTGCCGAAGACATTTTTGCACAGCACACTACTAAAAGAGCCAGTGAATACTGGTATTTTGCCTACAGCTGGCACTTTGATTTTGTGACTGCTACTAGCAGTATATGGCATTATAAAAATTATTTCTGACCTAATGTGCATGTTGTCTCATTTTTTTACTTGCCCTGAGCAGAAGCTCAGAATGAAATCAGTTTAATAGAATAATTTTACTGTGTGTAGATTTTGTCACAAGTATTGCTTACAGGATTACAAAACTCACTCTCTTCAAAGCACAGCTGGGATCTAAATTAAGCCTAGAGAAAATAGCTAGAACTCTGCCAGCCTGTAAAGTGATGGTATTATTCCCTTATACTGGGCTTCACTGACATACAGATATACCCAGTAGGCACTGAAAACCAGTGTACAGTTAGTGAGACTTGACTATTTCATAATAAAATTTATTGCTTCTATTTATTATTTTCCCAAAGAAGAAACCAAGACGAGAACAGGAAAACACAAGATAGAAGAGAGAATTCTTCACAAACCATGTTTCTATTGTGATTTCAAGATGAAAAACAATTCAAGCAGCAGAGAAGGAATATAAGAATATCCAAATACAGAACTCCAATTTCTCTTCTATTTCTAGAATTAAATTGTAGTATTGCCAGCACCAAGAGTTCAGAAAAAAAGGGGAATGTGAACCCTAAAGTCTCAAAAATACAATTTCTTCTACAAGTATGAAAAAATAAGATGACACTCTTTGTTTGTAGCATGACTTCCAGAGTGAACACTTTATGGAAAACAGTGTCAAGATAATCATAAAATTTGAAATGATTGCTAACAGGCATAGATATGAAACACAGAGAGAGTAACAGATATAAGAGAAACAACTTCTTTAAAACAGCCTTATTGACCCTGCCCCCTTCTTTTACCCATCATATTTGTAAGAAATCCTTGATTTAGATGAAGGGAGAAGCTTCTTCCCTCACATGTTCCTTTCCCTGTTCTGCCCTTTCTGCTACACTCCCATCTAAAACACCATCCCACCCATCTAATGCCCTCTAGTAGTTTCACAAACTTACTGCTTTGAGACACCCTTCTTGCCTTATTTCTACACACATTTTGGGTGTAGACCCAATCTGAAGTGGGGGAGGGTAAGGGGGACAATGCTGCTCTACAGCTGCTACTGTGACAAGGCAACCCAGTGGATACCCATATTTGATGTCGCATGATCACTTACTTCAGACTACAAGCATCTTGGTGCAGGAACCGTATTTTCCCAGACAGTGTAATTTCACAAAGTTTTACCTAAAATATACACAGTAAATAGCACACTGCACTTGCAAAGTCTAGCGCCCAAGAGCCAGTATATGCCAAAAATAAGGTAACCCACACAACCTTAATCCAGAACCCATGGGCATACGCGTTGTGGTATCATTGTCAGCCTACAAGATAGGATACGATTTTTTTAATATCGTCCTGCCTTGCTCAGTGCACAACAGGCTGGGCTCATTGAAAAAGCAATCATTCAGTACCTTTGTTACTCAGTGATCCAGGCCTTGTCTCCTGTATGATCTTCTAATCCTGTTCTGAAGGCAGAAAAGCCTATAAGGAAACAACTGTTTTGATCATATATTGCTACAGTATCCAGGTAATCTCACAACCATTTGTTTGCATTTATTTTAAAAAAGCTATTAGGCAGTGCTAGTTTTGAGATGCACAGTACAGAGTAAAGAATAAGTGAGTATTAATCTGAAGCGCTCATAACTTGCCTGGGTGATGAATTTGAGAGTACTCTACACATTTGGCATGGTTTTCATATTCAAGGTATAGTTTCCACCTGACAACAGTGGGAGCAGTAGCTCCTCTTCATTTACGCAAATCGTCTCACAGACAAGGAATGGACTATTATTGTCACCTGTGAAAAGCTGGGTTTAAGTGATTTGCTCATCACCACAGACTATCATGTCGCAGATGCAGGGATATAACTTTACTCTCTTAAATACTATTCAACCATTGTACACACACTTTCATTTTACTACCCGCCATTCCCCAACTCATTCACTGATTCTCCTAGACACAACGTTTTTTTGGTACAGAAACATTGCTCAGGCAGATTTTCAAAATATTTCTATAGTTGGCTGGAATTTCTAAATACAGAGCAGAATAGGTCTAGTCAGACAGCTGTAGGGCTAGTAACCTCTGGCACTTTAAGCACATAAACACAGTCCTACCATGTGGATGTGACCCAGTTGCTGTGTTCCAGCAAAGCAGACAAAATACTCTCTAGCACTGCTGGATTTCCTGTGAATTTACACACATTGCTTCCTGAAGAATCCCAGACAGAAATGACAGTCTTACTTATAAGATGTTCTCCCCAATGAAACTGAGGTCTTAACCTCCTATACTACATGACAATTCACCTTGAAAGCCCAGTTTTCTCTGCCTCAACTTGCAGAGAGTCTCATCAAGACCCCTGAGCCTAACAGTGTACAAGACCCCAAGAAATACTCGCAACTTCATTGGTCATAACATATTACAGGAATACTACACATAGACTGAACAGCATGCATGCAGCTGCTTGTTTCTATTGCAAGCAAGAACAGCTGAAGCGAGATGAGCACAGCTGGAGCAGTGAGTGTGTATGTTACTGTAACTGTTCTCAACAACAAACCTTCAGGGAAATGGGCAGGGATTTTCCAAAACACTTCATCTTGGCCCCTCTCCTTCACCAGCTTAATAAACCCTCACCAGCTTAACGAACCCAGTCAAGACCTTGAAGGCAACTTCCTCCATAAATACCCAAACCACAAACTATATGGAGGTGCCCAACTCACCAACTCAGCTGCTTTGCTTGCCTTTCAGGGGTGAAGTGCTGAAGCAGGTGACAGGCATAAACGCACAAACTTAAAAATTTTTAAAAATCATTATTTCAAACCCCACTGAAGAGAGAAACGAAAAAGAAAACCAACAACAGCCACCCTTCCCCCTCTGAAACAAGTCCCCTCACTAGAGGGAGCAGCCCCCCCTTAACATGGATGCTTGTCCTCCCCTCTGCGCCTCCTCAGGTACACCAGGTGCACTACCAGAGGGGCACAGGGGAAGAACTGGGACACCCAGAATTGCCACTGCCGCATCCACCCGGGGCCTGGGCCTGGGCCTACCCTCACGGCCAAGGCCTCGCAGCCAGAGAACCCCGCGCTACACAGGTGCGAAGAAGATGGAGCAGGCGCCCTTGCTCTCTGAATGGTGCACTTAACTGTCAATCAGAGCTCCTTCCCTCCCCCCGCGCCGAGGCTGCCCGATCCAACCGCACCCCCGTCAAACGCCATCGCGGTCCCGCTGGTGAGCGGTGGGAGGGGCAAGGCCCCGATCCCTCGCACTCCGATTGGTCGGACGAGCCGTCAACTCACTCCGACGTGGCTCCGCCTCCCCACCGCTCCCCTCTGAATTTACGGTGCGGAGAGGAAAATGGCGCAGAGATCTCTCACGATCTCATTGGCCAAGTGGAAACGCCACTCAAGTTAAAGGCTCCGCCCCCCCAGCGGGCCAGCGTCTCAGCTGACCGGTCAGCCCCGTGACAGGGCGGGGGTGGGCTTCACTGGCGACTGGTCAGTTCCGTCAGTCACTCCTGCGGCGTCTCGCCCAGCCGCCCCGAATCTCACCTGCCGATTGGCTGCGGCGGTTGTCCGTCAGCGCTCCCTAGTGGGCGGGGCGCTCGGGGCTCTCTGTCCGACGGTGCGGCCCGGCGTCTTCCCAGCGGCGTCTGGCAGCGCGGCGGCCGGCACCGCGGCGGACATGGGGCGGCGCGGCGGGGCTCCCTGGGCCCTGGAGGTGGCGGTGCTGGTGACATCGGCTTGTCTCGCCGGTGAGCGAGCGGGGTCGAGCCGGCGTGGGGGGGGAGCGCTGGCCTGGCCAGCTTGGGCGGGGAGGGCTGCGTCGCCGCTGCGGAGGGACGTTGCGGGGGAAGGGGAGGCCGCTCGCCTCAGCGACCCCGGCCGCGGCGGGGGGAGGG